ATATATAAATACTAGAATATACATATTTTTCACTACATTAACAACACAAATTCTGTTTTTCTTTGATGTACAAAACTTACAACCATTCATGGATTTTATGTGAATCATTGAGTATAATAGAACGACAGATTGTAAAACTGTTATCAGTTTATATCAATTTTAGCACCATTTCGTTTTTAAAGCAGTGTTGCTATGGTCCATTTGAAGTATTTGTTAAAATTACACTTATACCATATTCACTTTGTAAAAGTGGCATTTCAATGCTCTGTTGGGTATATTGTTAGATAGATTTCTCTTTTCTATCATGGAAATTGATTTTGTTGCCATTCATGATTTTTGAAGACTTTTAATCAAATACAGTGATGTGACGTTCGCCTTTCTCCTGCTATATGTCATTAAGCTGATTTTGAGTGCTTCTGTTTTTCCATGACTTTCCTTGGTCTGAAATGTTGAGATGAGTACAATAAGCAGGTGTTAGGTTTAAATTATCTCAAAACACCAAGCCTGAATGATCTTCAATTACAATTTTTTGGCTGGTTATTGTTAAAACCTGTCCTCTGCCTCAAACACCAAATGTGTGCTTTACTAAAGTTCAATGGATAAAACAGGGTTGATAGTGTTAGATGACTCACCCCCAGCTTGTTATTTCTGAGCTCTTCCACAAGAAATCCCAGGTGTTGCATTTTCTCCAACTCACCATAGAATTTTATTCACAGGAAAATACATCTCGAAAAACTCCGACAATGAGCATTAGATCCCGTCCCCATAATGGGAGTATCAGAATTATGGACCCGAGAATTCAGGTGCAGGAATTGCTTCTAGAGTCCCTGCTAGATATTTAATGCATTATCTTGTTGTTGAGAAAACGTACATAACAAGTACAAAGCACTTTAATTAAAAAAAATGTAATTCTAAATTGGGGTTAAGGTTGAAAGCCAGGCATCTAGTTGCACTATACTGCCTTGGGGTAAATGTAGATGCAGCAAGCCATTGTCGTTTTGATCTAAAACATCTGGCTGACCCCAGAATTCCCCTTTTCACCACCAGATCCTAAGGACCCTTTCCTTCCTGAATCTCATCTCACCTGGATCAACAGTGTTGATATTTGTGTATCACTCAGCTGCAGATCCTCAAATCATCTCTGAATTAATGCTGACACTGTCCTTCCTTCTGGAGGGAGGCTACTTTTGTTCCCCATGGGCCCTGTGGGTATTGTAAAGTAGCCACCGCTCCAAGCTCACTCCCGTGATGGACAACAGTCTCAATACAAATGAATAAACTAAAGGCAAGATTACAGTGCATCAAGGGAGTGAGCTTTTTTTACAATTAAATCTTAAATGATTTTTAGGATCTACAGCTCTGATACCCAAATAAGCCACATTTCTGTTATTAGTGCAGGTACTTGAATGCATTTTTAAGAGTTAACTCCTGTGTTTAGTGTCACTTTAAGGCTGCAGCTCTGTTCCAGGCCTAACATGGTTTTGGCTGGGCAGGCCTTTAAATATATGTTATGTGCTATTAATAGGTACAGTATTTGGTTTTTATTTGTGATGCACCATTTTGGTACTAATAGCAAAGTTTTAGATCAGCCCTGTAAGCTAGACTTGCCTAATTTAATGCTAAACTCCAGGCCGATATACTGTAAAATGTCAATTAATGCACATTATTTACATGTGGTCTCAGATGCAGCTATGGTGCATACCTGAAATTGTCTTGATATCAGCCTCCCGTAATTGTCTATAAAGCAGACTGAAAGAGGGTGCACCAACACTAGAAACCAACCAGGCTTAAAACTACACAATGGGGTCTATTCACTAAGCTGCCGAAGGATCTAGCCGTAGCTTCGGCCGATCCTTCGGTTCAGTAGAACTGAAGGGGTGCTTTACGGGCTATTCACTATAGCC